CACAGGCGCAGCGTTTGTAGGTACGCTGCATTCGATTTAATAACTGTGTGCTTGCATGCTAAGTCTCTTTATTTCAGGTGGTGGGTTTTCAATTTTGCCCTAATGCTTTCCTTTCCCATATAACTGCCTAGTTATACTCTCTTCTGTGCACTTGCACACGTCGCTTGAGCCACTTGTGGTTAATTTCGACAACATTTTCGTGTTTGTAGCATTTCCGTAAAATAAACCTCCTGACGTCGTGAACTTACCTCGTATTCTTTTTTAAACGTATTCTTTTGTAAACAACTTATTTCATATGCTCACTAATTTAAGATTTATGTCACCGTTTGCTTGCCTGCTAAATCTGTTTATTGCAGGTGGTGAGCTTTCATTTTTGTCCCAATGCATTGCTTTCTCATATAAACGTCCACCTGTACTCTCTTCTATAAACTTGCACACGTCACTTGAGCCAATTCTAGTCTTTTTCGAAAACAGTTTGTGTTTGATGCATTTCCGTAAATTATACTTTCTGTCCTCGTGAACTCATTTCGCATTCTTCTGCCAACAATTTACTTCAGATGCTCATTAATTTAACATATATGTCACCCTTTCCTTATGCATTGCTCGATTTATTTTCTTTCTTATGTTTCTTTTAAGTGATTGGCGGTTGCTTGTTATCCCCGGTGTGGCTGCGCTTGATGTGCATGTTGACAAATTGCCTAACTGTCTATTACCCACTACCTAGTCCATACTGTCTCCAGGAGACAGTTGGTCGTTGCTGGAGGGGACAGCGTGCACGGTCCTTGTGGCCGTGTTAGGATCAAAGAGTGGTTCCATGCAGTCAGTGTGGAGCGGACTACGGTCCAGCCACCGCCTTGTTTGTGCGCTTGATTTCCAAATACAGTGTGCTTGTGTTTGCCTGTGAAGGAGTGTGGACCGCCTCCGTTGATGAAACGTGGCTCCCATCCACATGCCTCCCGGTCTTATTCCTTCGGGTTTACACTGGATATGGGGTGCGTGGATGGAGGTGTGGGTGGTGCAGCGCAAGCCATGCATGGTCCCTCTGTAGACGCAAGCGTCCTGTGACTGGCCACAGTGACAGGCAAACCTGAAACTGGATGCCGCCAACCATATATATATATATATATATATATATATATATATATATATATATATATATAAGCATAAGGCGTCACAAATTTTCATCTCCAAAGTTTCGTCAAAAACACCAATCGCGGTAACATTACCGCATGTTTGCAGAACTTCAAGCACCTTTTGTCATGTGTAGTACGCTCTTTCGCTTTGCTTTGCTACTGCTTTTTAACGCTTTTTTCTACCATTAATTCTTATCCCAAGTCCTTAATTTCTGCGTGTCTCGAGTCCATTAGGATCATAAATGTGACCTTCACTGTCGGCTGAATGCGATGAAACCATTGCCTTCCGAAAGCACGTACGCCGTAAGCGAGAAAGTCGGTCTCCTTTATCAGTCTGCTGGCACACCTACGCCATTGTGCTTGGATGCTAGCTGGACCCAAATCTATGATTGCTAACGGCCCATCAAGAGCTCCACGTTGTTTCCTGAAAGTTTTCTTGGCTGTTTTTCTCCGAGAATGGCTTCGAACACTTATTGTTGAGTAAAACCATTTACTCCATGCAGTTTTTTGTGTGGCACATGTAATTAGTTGATGACGAAATCATTCGCCAGAAACATCAGCTAATCGGATGGCGTCGCTGAGTGAATTGGTAGGCCAAATGACAGCAGTGTCTGTGACGTACATGCGAACACGAGCTGGTGGGCAAGTTTGGTTTCTTATTTTAATAAACTAGCCAACAACAATCTTGTATTTGCAACGATGTCGTGATAGTTGCTACTGCACTTCACTGGAGGGTGTGCATATCATTTTCTTACCAGTGGTGTGGGCTAAACGTACTTTCAAGTCTGAACTCACTATTGGTGTTTTTTTTATTACGTTGTATACTATTGCCCATACTCTACTGTTCGCTGATTCCCTTATGCACTGGTACCCCGGTGAACATCTGGGGAGTAAAACATGGGGTGTAGCAACCTCAGAAATGACCAACATCAGCTTTGCTGAGAGCACGTTAATGGCATATCGCACTGGTATACCGAGGGAAGATGTAGTTCCCCTGATGATTGGTTTGCCATCCGTGATAAAATACTAGCATGCTATACTCCACCATGAGAGGTAGCGTCGTCAGTGCAGTGCTGTATAGAGCGTTCGGGAAGTTTGACGCTTCAATTTTTCCCGAAAATGCTTGGCGCTTACGTGAAGCCGCATGCGGAAAATGCTATCCAAGCGTGGCAACCCTGGCTGAAGCATCATCACAACGCGCTCGATACTACACAACACAGGACGACAAAGAATGTCAGAGGCTTGTCCCGCCTTGCCTACCCACTCAGGCTGAAAACTCTCAAAATATACAGCCGAGGTTATCGGCGTCTAAGGGTGATCTCAAAAAGGTGTGTCAGATCCTGAGAAGCCCCAACCACTCATGTCATTCTCTTCTGCAACTCAGTGAAAACCAATTTCCACAGGGTCATAAGTTTAAGCTGATCATGTATTACAGCCGACGGGAATGTCGAAGAAACTTCTACTCCCTCCGATTTCCACCGTCACGGAACGTCCTCCAGCCACATGTGATTAATTTTCCCACATTATCTCTTTGCAATAACGTCTTTTCATTACCTTGACACATTTACACTATGTGATATAGCCCATGAACAACAGATGCTGGCATTAGTGCCAAACAAACAGTGGACGGTGTCATGAATCTACTCCCACATGAGTTACTACGAACCCCTTCGTCAGTTCTGCATTTCAAGCATTCCATTACTGGAATTGATTTTCTTTTGTAACTAGCACCTTAACCATGCTATCGGACATATTAAGCATTCGCTTTTTTACCCATCATAAACCATTGCCCCAAGCTTTATTCCAACGGAATCGCCTACTTAAACCTTGGATCGCTGTTCTAAGATAAATTCCGCACTTTAATATAACCGTCTATCATCCTTTTATTGATGTGATGTTTTGCCCATCGTACTTAGGTTAGAGGTACATGCACCTCAACCCTATTCGAGAGCGCCAGTATTCTTCAGCGCGTTGTTTTGTCATCTTTTCTATTTTCTACATATGTCAGCTCGATATCCTTCCATGGGAGGGCAACCTTACTGAAGCAGACGAAGGAGAATATTGTGTCCGCAAATCAATCGACTAATGTGTATTCAGTCAGAGTACAGGATGCTCTTAACAGTTTCACATTTCTATCGAAAACCCAATAAGTTTCGCACATGTCCAAACGCACTGGTATAATTTTCCAGACACACAGAGATGGGTATCAACAGCTGTGCGTGCAGTGTAGCGATTTTAAAATTCCACCTTTTAAATTGTACTTTCCCGCTTCACCTTCCATTATTTATGGTACAGCTGGTTTAAATTATCGCAATACACACTACTCCGATTTTCGTTTCACGTTCTTGCTCCGATTCGCTACACCTGATTTCTTCGTGACTGCTCCAAACTGTTGCTCCAAATTTGCTAGGCGGAAATATAGCTTACTTTGACAGCGCTCCATTTCGAGGCTTACGGCCAGTTTCGCACAGTTCGAAGGCTTAAACTTAACCTAAGATAGGATTACATGATGCTTTCCTAACTGACTGAGTTTTCCGTTAAGCTTTTGTGTTGCCTTTTCCACTACAATATTGCCCGGAACTCCACATCGAGGGTGGTGGGTTGCAATCGGTCACATCAGTGATGTAACCTGGTATTGCGTTTAACTAAGAGTTAGTTTGATTACAGTATGTTAAAAATTAGTTCGCAAAGTCCGGCTTGCGCTTCAATACTCACACTTGCAAGCTTTATCTATGACCATGATTTGATATTTCATTTCTTCACTGTCTGTGTTTCTCCACACTGTAAGTACTACATTCCAGTGATTATTCTTCATCTACCGGATAATCACTTCAAAGTAACCTTCAGGTCGTTAAAGCACTTGTCCCAATATATCAGTGTATGAAGTCCGGGCCTTGTTGATAATTTTGTGTCCACCCATGTTAGCTCTCGCAAGAGGCTGGCGTCAACGGTACTTAGCGACATAAGTCATTGTGTAGTAGCAGCATGTGTGTCATCTTCATTTATCATACAGAGAGGAAGACCCATATGTGCCTGAACATTCATTCATATGCTACTTTGGTCGCGTGATTTCTTCACCTGGACCCCTTATTCAATGGCACAGCATGTGAACATTACTGCGTTGCGATTCGGAGTATTGTGCCCTTCAAATATAGGCCAGAAAGCAAGTCATCTGACAGCGTTCACAAAGCCCTGACGAATACTTGTTATCTAACCTAACACGGATGTCAAAGGTCAACCGGTATCTATTTGACCATCTGATAGGTTCGAAGTTGGTTCTCTGCTCGTTCACAGAACAATCACCAGTCGAACCAACTAACACGGACTTTGTGGTGTCAGTCCTAGCGATTTTGGTCGCAATCGCAAGACCCGTCTTAGAATAGCCAGTTACTAAGTAAGTAGAAAGACTGCACTGTTCCTCCGATTTGTCCGCTTTCACAGCTAACCATTGCATTGTTACCATCGCCTTGGGGTGGAGACTATTAATTAAGCGTACTGTCTGGTCAGCTAAAGAGAGCGCCTTCAACTGGTACTGAGCACTTGCTTAATTGGCATAGGAACGCGATCACGTGTGGTTGGAAGCCTCAGTAGATTTCGTCGCACGACACCCGAGTTGTCGATTTTTACCAAGTTAGTTTGCGCCTGCTTCTAACTACCTGTCTACCACTTGATACATGTCTTAAATGATCTTGTGGCCGAGTTAAGTATCTTGCATACTTAGCAATAAAAATGGCCTTAAATTCAAGCAAAACAGAGAGCAGCACTGGATAACGTTATGCTCATTATGTAGAGATTTCCCGCATGTATGGTTGACTATTGAGCATGTCCATACAAGATCGCCCTTAAATTGTCTTCTAGTTAGCTTTAATGTCTACTGTGTCAAGGAGCTTGGATTCGAATTCCGAAGACCGTCCCACGTCTGGAGGACAATGTCGAAACGCAAAACCTAGGTTCGTAGCAAATGTCAACACGAACCACCTACGCAATAAAGTAGGAGTGTGAGCACGTGATCACAGTATTATTGTTCCAGAACTCAGTCCTTCAGGGAAAAGCGTTTATTCGGCACAGTCAACTCGGCGAAAATTACAGCAAGCCATACTCCTCGATAAAAGTTATGCATTCACCTCCATAAGTAACAATCCTTCTGTGGCAATGAGGCACTTCAGTTGACTTAATTAAACAAACCATGAGTAACTCACATGAATGTCGGTCCATCCAGGTGCAGCAAGCAAATCAGATACATCTGTCGACCCTTGTTTATCTGGATCCTTTGGTTGGCCCACGCATTCACTCGTTCATGATACTCCAGTGACAATTATGACAAAGGAAGTTTGGTTGTAGGATATTCTATTTTCATCCCTTCTGGCTTGAGAGGAAGGTTTTTAAAAATCCCGATGTGAACGATGTACTAGATACCTTTGCTAGCCAGACGCATAACTTTCATATGCCTCATCCAGGTACATCTGTTCCTTATCAGCGTATCAATTTCACCAAAACGGACAAGTCGATTTTGCAATGTCAATTTGCATGTGTCAACTTTCCGTCTACCACGAGAGGTATAATTAGCAACTCAATGTGACCTACCACTAGTCCGAGAACACCTGTTTAGCAATAATTTCCATGTCGCACCAATGCGCGTCTAGAGGAAACCCGACACCTTCTCCCTAAACTTAAGCCGTCCCGTCGATACCTTTTGTTTGACGAAAGCTTTTATACGACTGCACGTTCGCTCACGTCACTTTGTCACTCTTCCCTTTGTTTTGGTGGCATGTGAAGTACGGACTGGACCTCAAACTGCACTACGATCGCAATCATTCCCACACATGCGTAACGTGTGTGCTCCTGATTACTTTGGATTATTCCCCTCTATCCTCTCTCCATGCTCTTGTAGGGTTGTCACTGTACACTCATTCGAACCGGATTTACCATTGTGCGTGCAGATGTGCGTCAAAGCCAAGCCCATAAATTTATTACGAATTACGCGTCATGCGAACTCGCCACACTGTGGAGAACCCAGAACTATTCGAGTAACACTAGAATTCTCCACCGAGATCGAAAACGTTTTGCTATCCGCAAGCGCGCTAAAACACTGATCCTGTGGGATACGCATTTATCCTGATGTCCGTTGGAGCGCGCGACAATCAAAAACCAACA